CCCCCATCCTCCCCCCTGAGTGCCTGTCATTTTAATTCCCCTCAGTCTCCACCAGCACACACTGAGGCTGAGGTTTGTTCTGGTAACCATGGCAACCAGCCCTGCTATTGTCCCAGCACAGAGTGAAGCACAGAGATGATCAACAACTGTTTAAAATTCAACCAACCCTGAAGAGGAAGTCCGACACTCACGTGACGTCGACGTCATCTTCAACTTTGACAACCGTGAAAAAAACTACTGACCTTAAACACAACACCCCGGTCTGTCACCGAACCTTCTGGTTTTCATTCACACTCATTTGTTACTGTAACTTTTCATTCATTTGGATAGAATTAAAACATCGTGATGTTGAAGTTAATCGTAGTATCGGTGTTATTTTGATTATTAACCTGCTGCGCCATCCTCTGGTAGTTTTTGCTAACTGCGGCTTGATGACATCATCAGACCGCGACTTACAAACGCTGCTGTGAGCGTCCTTCAGCTCTGTGGAGTGAATTAAATCGCTTCTAAACCGAATGTTTGTGTTTTTAGGCGGTTTTTACAACATTGAAGAACACGGAGCGGAACAATCGAGAACCTTTGGTCGATACGAATAAAACATCGGTGAAATCGGTGAGTAGAACTTCCGTTTAATTCGATTCAACTCCGGTTCTAGAGTCGTTTCTAAAAGTCGAACCAGGTGAAAACACAGACGGTAAAGTGTCGTGAATGTGACGACACACTTTACGACGTTAATGTTCGTATCCTTAACTTTCGTTAATACCTATGACTTCCAGCGGCTCCTCCTGCTGTGACGGAGGGAAGAATGACTGCTCCCAGCTCAGCAGAGAGAAAGGCATGCTGGGAAGCCAGGGACCAGCTGTGGAAATGTCTGGACGACAGCCGTGACCGGGCTTCGAGCTGCCAACACCTCCAGAGCGTCTTCGAGGCTAAGTGTCCCGCTCAGTGGGTAAAGTGTTTCCTCTGTTCGAATCCCGTTCACAGTGGATGGAACCGAGGGTTGAACCTCGTCTGTTCTGTTTTGTCTGGAAGGTGAAGTACTTCACCAAGAGGAGAGAGTACTTGAAGTACAAGGAGAAGATGGAGAAGGAAAGTTTCAAACCTTCTGAAGGTCCAGAGCAGCCGTCGTAAGAACTGAGCCCAGACTGGAGCTGGACCGCTGTGGACCGCCGTCTGAGCTCACAGACCGTACTACAGACCGTACTACAGACTGTACTACACACCGTGCTACAGACTGTGCTACAGACAGTACTACAGACTGTACTACAGACAGTACTACAGACAGTACTACATCTTTCTTTATTTATTTACTGGAACATGGTGCAGTCCACAGAACATAGAACACACTGAGTGACCTGTGTGGTCCAGCCCAGCTGGTCTGGTCCAGCCCAGCTGGTCTGGTCCAGTCCGGTCCGGTCCGGTCCGGTCCGGTCCACTGGACGACACACCTGTGGGACTGTAACGGTACTAGATAATAGTTATTTGATTATTACTGTGACGACCTGCTGACCCAGTCATCGTCAGTGTTGATGACATCACATCACCATGACAACAGGAAACAGGTTTGTTTGACGAGGACGGAACCTGAAGGTGGCGCTAAAATGTTTCCAATAAAAATAAATCTGTGATCATCGTGTGTGTGTGTGTGTGTGTGAAACACAGACCATTGTCCACGTCCTTCTGACATCAACATCCATGTATTCACAGAGGAGCGACCCCCGCCCCACAGTTTGGAGGTCACTGCATCAGCCACTGATTTAAAGGGAATTACATTCAATTTTTGTGTAAAAAGTACAGTATAAAACACTGTACAGTACTGCAGGTGTGTGTGAGACCAGACAGCTGATTGGACGAAGCCAACAACTACACATATATTAAATAAGTACTCTCATCCTCTGTACTACGTAGGACAGCAGTCCTTTAGTGTTACTGCATGTCAAATATTTGTAAGTATTAAAGTGTTTTTCTACTCTGGTCATCCAATGGGATTCTTAGAATTATACTCTACATATATTCATGTACATATATGTGTACATACATGTACATGTACTGTGTGTATATGTAGTATTACTTCAACATCCGTCTCCATCAAACCTCTGAGAGACTGCTGTCGGTCTACAGACTTCCTGTCAGGTACGCTGTGATGATGTCAGTGATTTGGTCCAATCAAAATCCTCCTTAAACGTCTACAGAGAACAATCATCTGGGGGGTTCCTGGAGGTCAAAGGTCAACCCCTGTGATGTCACAGAAAATCATTTTGGAGCAAAGAAGTCTGGTTTCCTTTCCCCCCTCCTGCAAGGAGATGGCTAAAGGTCCAAACAGGTGGAGCCCCCTGGTGGTGATGTGGTTAGAAGCCCCCAGTGATGTTCCTGGTCACGGCCCAGGCTGGAAACTCCGTCAGATTGAAGAGAGGAACGCCCCAGGTGGTGATGGCCAACATTACAACTGCCACA